CAGCCTCCAGGCACTGTGAGAACCAATTTTGTTGTATTTAAGTACAATGACAATACACTTATACTAGAAGGAGGTTATGGCATCACTTAACTCACCATGGGCTAAGACATACAGCTGAGTATCATCAGCATATTGATGATATCTCAGTCCATGGTGACAGATGATCTCACCCAGTGGCTTCATGTAGATGTTAAACAGAAGCAAAGAGAGTACTACGAGAGTACTTACCTCTTGCTACCTATCAACACTGACTGAGATTGGCAAAAGAGGAAAGAAGCATTTAATTAGGAACAAAGCTGAGCAATTTTGTCTCCCAGAAAATCTGCACATTTCTCAGCATATATCTTCAGGTGGACCTTTATATATTCCTTTATAATTTTGTTGTTCTAATTGGAGTTCATCATGTGTACTTATTGCTAAATCTTATAACTATTACTTCAGTCTGGTTAGGGTCCCTGAAATATAAATATTCATAATACCTTGGTAAAGAAGCTACTATAATACTTTTGTTGATAGTCAATTCTATTTTTCTTACATCATGGAGATACCACAAGAACCCAAGGTTCTTGTTTTTGTCTCTCTGCTTTAACTTCCTAGGAAAACCAAATATACCATAGATCTTTCTTGCCCAAAGGCCATCATAATAATTTAATAAAGGTTTGTTGGATACAGTTAGAAACAAGCATAGTACTTCTTTCTAACTGTATCTAATTGAATTTACACTACAACTTGCACTGCTGGTGAAAGTACAATTTATTATACACCCATGCATGAATAATATGTATACATGTTCAGAATTTATTCACATTCCCAGAAATAAAAAAAATTCTATATCAAGGACAGAAATATCAAGGGTTAAAGAAGATAGAAAGATTCCCAATTCTTCTTCACTAGTAAAATGAAATTGACAAATAATATCCAACTTATGTCAGTTTCAACTGTGCTTCTCATGGCAAACAAGGCAGTCTTTTTCAAAATTATTATTAATTTACATGACATTGGTCTGCATGGCTACCTGTCCCATATAACAATTCTACCAACTCATAATAATTCATAAAAACATGATTTAAAAATAAAACATTCCTTCTCCACAGGCACTAGACCAAATATTCTTCCAGTTAATCCCCACCCAAGTCTAATTGTTTGGGGAAAAGTCAGCTGTTCACAGGTCTCCTGAAGATTAAAAGATTTGGGATCTCTTGGAACTCAAGTGGAAGGGTGGGTTGGCTGCTAAGAAGGCATGTATCAGGTCTCATTTGGAGACAACATTAAAGGGAGATGTCAGCCAGGTAAATCAGACAGGAAACATAACTAAATGAGCTAACTCTACTTTACTGAAATGATACATTAACAGAATCTTGCAAGTCTGATGGTACAAACTTCCTATTATCACTTCCTAAATTTCTTCCTCTGACCAATAATCCATAGGGAATCCCTGCCTCTCTTGTCTGATTGTTTTCTAGGCAACATCTCTCCCCTTGTGCTCCCAAGGTCATCCATTATGTTACAAGAAGTAACCTAGAACTTTTCTACTCTACCTGACCTAGGAGGATGGCAAACTTTCTGTCCTAAAGATTGTAATAAAGGTTGGATCGTAGGACACTCAAAATTAATTCTACCATTGCATTCTTAATCAGTTGCAGCTTCCAAATAGTTTTCAGGGGCAGTCCCATACAAAGCATGTTGTAGTAATCCAAACAGGAGGTGACTGAGGCATGAATGAGTGAGCAGAGTTTTTCCACAATTAAATTCCATTATGAATTTATCTTGCAGGTTATTGAGGGACTGCAGAGAGCAGAGGTGAAACTCATAGAAAAGGTTACTTTTCTGTAAATGTTTTTATTAAGGCAAAATGAGCATCACCTATTATTAGTGTTCTGTGCAAGCTTTGCATGAAAAATAGGTAATGTTTATGAGCTTAAATATTTGAAAATGGCAACTTGTACAAGCCAGCATGCATTGACAGTTTATTGAATTTTAGAAGCTGGTACTACATACATTAGGATTTAGGAAAGTAAAAGTAATATGCGAGGCATTTTGACAAATTCTTTAAAGTGTGCCATATTTGCTGTCCCAAATGAATTAGGCCTTGAGGATAAAAAATATGATAAAATTACTATTAATTTATATAACTGATAAATATTTTAAAAACTACATTTCTATCATAAAATAATTCTCAATTCCTTAGTTTCAATTGCAGTGGTTTCACTGCAGAACTTACAGTAATGTTTTTTAACTGGTATCACATGCATGAAGTAATTCATTGAATTTATATTGTTCTACAAGATTTATGGTTTGGGGGGGTCTATACATTTTAGATGTTATCCTTTCACAAATTTTACATTATAAATTCAGAATATAATGACCAAGTATTTTATATTGTACCGGAATCTATTCCAGCCTTTTTCCTTGATATTTATTTACTTAATTGTTACACAAGGAACAATTTCTTCCATAATTTCTATCCTTTTACTTGGTTAATTTCCTGCTGGTTAATATTTTGACATTATTAACATATATCTAAAGTATAATAATTTAAACATAGTCCATTAAATTCTATGTAGTTTCTTGTTTCCTGTTCTTTGATTGGTTGTTGTTTTTCTTCACATGTATAAAGTGTAAAAATATATTGAAAAATACAACATGGTAACGCTGGAACATTCCAATAAATCACCAAACTTTTGAAATTGCAATTTCAAAATATTTAAGTGGATGAAAAGTATGGATAGGTTAAGCTTGCATGTTATCAGTTTTTTACATATTAAAAAACTTCATTTTCAATAGATGAATAATATATTTTTTCTTGAGCTGTAGTGCTTCAACCTGGAGATGGATTATGAAAACGGAATATGCTCCCATCTAAAAATAGGGTGGAAAACAATGTGAAGATATAAAGTCAGATATCATTGAGGTTTTTGTCCCTATCTCCCTGTCAAGCTAGTTTCCACTTAGTAAGATATTTTTTTTACAATTTCCCACTGTGAGAGAAAAACAATGTAGAATTGCCATTCAGCTGTAACCTGCAGTCACCCATGAGATATGAAATAAGAATCTGAGAAAACAGAAACTGCTGTTACCTAATGGGTTATTTTGACCTGGATTTTTTTAATTCTCAGGTAGCAATCTATAATATGTAGAATTTCTCCTTGTGGAACATTTTGCCAGGGATATGAAGTTGATGGGCTACGCTTTTGGATGGCATCCATCTTTGGACATTAAACAAGCTTTTATTTTAAGATGCTATCACAAGGCTTCAGGAATATATTTTCCACCATTATGTCCAAATGAAAAAAAAGCATGTTTATTGTCTGTTCACTGCAGTTATGATAGAATTGCATTCAATAATTAAATGACTCTTTAAATATCTAAATAGTTAAACATCTTATGGTTTTCCCCCTCACTCTAATATGGATAAGCAGGAATTTTGTCTGTTTTTGTCTCTGGTGTGGGACAAGATTCTTGGTTGCTGCTCCCTCCAGGTACACTTGTTTTATTGGTTTTATTAGCAATTTTTTGACTATTGTGAATATCAAAGCACCCAGAATAATGGACTCATGCAACCTAGAATTTAATAAGTAAGTGTTGTATATTTTAGAGGTACCATTAACTCCTGAAGTTCTGTTCAGTTTCAGTTTTTAAATTGCTTCTTTAGTTTTATTTTCTGTTATGGTTTAATTAAAATATTTTTATTGAGCTTTAATTTTTATAATATTGTATTCAAATATTTTTCCAGGTTCTGCATGCCAGATGTCTATTTACTATATAATATTGGATAGTATTTACCAAATTGGTCCATCATGTCTATCATAGATACTTGTCTAGTTCCATCACGTTAGTAATATCTTTTGTATTGTTCTTTTCGCAATTGTTGGGTTATATTTGTATCATTTATCTTTTTTTAAAAAAAAAGTTTCTAGCATTTATTGAATACTCACAAAATTGTATGTAGGCAGAAGTCATGTGAAATGATATGACAGTTTGGAACTGTACAAACAGATCTGCCTACATCATGAGATCATGAAAATAAATGGAAGTGAATTTAATACTTAATAGATCAGTAGTGGACTGCAATTCATTGGAGTTAAGAGAGAGGGTGGAATGCATGACAAAATGATGTATAGATATGATTTGATATGTGATGATATAACTAAGACAGAGCAAGTCCTTTCAAACTGATGCACTTTTCAAATACTGAAGGAGCAGTAGTGAGTAACAAAGTGGCTTTTAATATTTAATGGGAGTGAATTCTTTTGCTTCAACTCTATTTAATTTTTTAATCCTTTTCATCCGGGGGAGGTTCACCTGACAATATAGAGTAGGAAGATACAGAACATTTTATGGATTTGTTTTAAACTCATTAGATAATGCAGGCACAAATGGTGCAGTGTTCCATGACAAATTAAATATAGTATCTATAATAACGGTGCTTACAATCCAGTAAAGGGTTGAGAAAGACAATTTTCTGTTTTATTCTTCTTTCTCCTTTCTTCATCTTTTGAAGATAAAAATGGGAAATTATTTGGAACTGAAAATATCATTAAATATGGTACACATTCTTATATTATAAAATAGTTACAAAGCAAAATTTGGTGATTTTTTTTTCATAAACGTTGGAACAAAAATTATAACAATTTCCAAGGCAAAAATAACACCAGATTGAGGAAATCTGCATTTCGTTCAGGTTTTTTTCTGAAATAAATATGTCAGAAATGTTACAAAAATAGTTTAAGATAGCTACATGTACAGCATATCCACATGAAATCAATCAAGAATATTTAGTGCTACTTTAAGTTATAATAAACTATAGTTTATATTGTTTCTATAGTAGTACAGAGAAGCAGAGGACTATATAATAAGCTACATAGGAAAATGAAGTTCTCATTATCAGGCACATAATCTTAAATTAGTATGTACATGAATGAGATATGATAGTTGCATATGTTCTGATATATTTCAATTCTATTTTGATGGTCACTGTCAATGTTCCTCATTTGTTACAGGTGACTGGTATGAACAACTGTACCCTCTCACAGTTACACTGAACGACTGTATTAGAGAAGTGGTGACTAGAGCAAAGGAGTCAATGTCTTTTGTTCTGCTTCAGGAGCTTTCATGTTGTTTGCCACAGTGCTTAATGTTGACATTAAGAAGAGATATAGTCTTCAGTCAAGCAGTAGGTGTTTTCTTTTAATAATCTGTTATTTTATTGAAAAATAATAGATGTAAATCATGTAAGCATTAATTGAACCAATTTTAAGGTCAGCAAAGAACATCTTCGTTTCTCTGAAGCATCCTTCTTCAATCTGGTTTCATATCACTGTGTTGAACTATAACTTTCAGCAAGTTAGTTGGGAATTTTGAAAATTGTAGTACAACACATCAAAGAGTTCAGTCTGTCCAATGACATGTTCCTTTTGCTCTCCATTCATAGTTCACTGGCCTTCTTGCAAAACACAACCTGCTTATGAGCTATATTCAACCTGCTTATGAGCTATATTCATTTCAAGAATATTCTACTGGCAAAATGTTAGTCAGATGTAATACATACTACATATTTCAGATATTCAGGCACAAGATTATTTATTATAAAATGCTCATTTGTCAATCAGTTTGAAGCCAACACTCACGACTTTAATGGATTTCTCTGGTATGTTCTGCAACAGTGCTTGTTTATTTATTTCAAAAAGTCGCTTTATTTCTTTTTGTGATGATTAAGTAAATACGTAAATAATCAACAAACCACACAAGTAGATATTTAGAGACAATTACAGAGGACATTATTGTTCCAATAAAATTGAAATACTTCAACACTGCTAAAAAAAACACTATATATCAACATTATTTGTCTATAATGTCTGCCATTTAGCCCTCCTGAAGGCTGATCTATAAAAATTGCAAGTGATTTCAATAATTGAATGATCCTTATTAATGATAATAAAGTAACCTTAAGGTTTTAAAATGATTTTATTATAAATAGTATTATAATTAGTATTTACTATAAGTACTAGTATAATTAGTATAATTAATATCTACTATCACTATTTAAGCAAAGATCAGTCTTTTGTCTATATAGTCACAAATTCAAAAGGCAGTGCTTATGTTGCTTAAACATGAGGCTTTTCAGCCTATTCTTGTCTCACAATAGCTGAGATCAGCTTCCAGCAGTGTCATTGAAACCTGACACTTCAGATTTTATAAACCTGCCGATCTCACAGAAGTGGTTCTTTGTTTAAAAAAATCACCTGTTAGTTCATTCCCAAAGAATTATCCCTTACTGTCACAGCAACAGAATCCTGGCCAACAATAGCTTAAAGGCAGGAACAGCTGGAGAGGCACATAAGCCTAGTAGAAAGAAAGAAGCACAAAAGGTGACTGTTTCCTTTTGTGTACTTTGAGGATTGATTACTATTTTAATTCAATTATTTATTTATTTATTTATTTTGTTCATTAATGTATTAATAATTCATTATAACGGTGTTGAATTTTCTAAATGAGAAAAAAAAATCTATGGAACGTATTAAAATTGACACTGAAAGCTTTGACAGTCCTTGACAACAGAATAGCAGTGAAACAAAAAGAGGAGTAGGCATAAGCTTAGCTCCTGCTGATGAGATAGAAAAGAAATCCGTGTAGTATTATTGACAAGAATATATACTTATCAGATCCAATATTACTACAGCCACTAAACTCACAAATAGCAACAGCGGAAAGCTTCCTTATTGGTCTGTTGGATTTATTTTATCATTGAAAATAGAACAGCCAATAACAAAACACACAAAGTACCTAAAAACAGAACAATAAGGCAACCAGAACTTATTTCTATTCAAAGAATGAATTTATCTAATGCTTTGGCCCAGTGCTCAGGAATTTGTTAATGCATTTCAGAAGGCCAACATGGTCAAAGACATCCAAATATTTTTGAAATCAGCCAATGTCAGCTAAAGGAAAAAGAAAAGGAAAACAAGAACTAGAGTGGGGGTGTCAAACTTGAGCCATCACGATGTCGTTACATGTCATATTACAACTTTCCCCCCCTCCCAAACTGGGCATGGCCAGCATGTGACTCATCCGGCCCACAAGCTGAAAGTTTGACAGCCCTGAACTTCAGCAAGAGCTCCATTTTTGTCTGATTTGTGGGTCTATGTTACTCTCAGGATGATGAAATAGGATCCTTGGCTAATTGATAAGGCTGCTTTGACTTTGCAGGTCCAATCTGTATGTATAATTTACATAGAACTATATCTACTATTAAGATGTCTTTTGTAGCTTTTATTTTTTAATCAGGAAAAAAGGAGGATATTTAAGCAGATATATAATTGTATGTTTTAATGATCTCGCCTAAGATTGTAGGGGTTCATCGGTAGCAATAAAAAGTCTGTAAGTTACATTGAAGCAGTCATTTGTTCTCAAAACAGTAACTAATGGGTATATTGTGTGCAAATTTGAAAAAGAATGCTAGGCCTGCCTAATATACGGTCTGTAGGCCACATGCAGGCTACCAACCGACTCTGTTCAGCCCAAACATCAAAAGGATACTAGCTTATGATTAATAAACATCCAAGAACCTATTCCCTCTTTCCTGCCACTTATCCATATTTTTCAAGACTAATTTCTGTGGCAAGAATATACTGAGCATTGGATCCAGTGGTTCTGATTTGATTTACATAGTTACAATAATTACAACTTTTGGCTGAAGCAATTAATATATATGTTTGTGTGGTTATTGTTATTAACCTAGCTTGCTGGATTGATCTGTGGATTCATCATCAAGTTACACTCCAGTTTACGTGATCAAGGCTTCCTCCAGCAACTTCATTCAGTGGGCCTAATTGTTCAGTATGAAGGACTTCTCAGTACATATAGTAAGTATGTACCTCAGATAACTATTCACTCCCTGAATTGATTTTACTCTCAGAGTACCTAAGAGAGATGAAATGGAAAGAGATACCTAGAAAAGTGCTGAAGGGTGACACGTAGCAAATACCTTCTAAAAGGAGATAAGTAGCAAATCTGATTAAACATGAGTTGGAGCTATAGGATCTATCTCATGGTAGTGGGGTGGCAAAACATTTTTATTTCTCTGGCTTTATGGCACCTGCATTTAGCTATCCAGCAGCCTATTTAGAGCATCTCAGTCCTTCCTGGTGGGAGTCACTCTGGAGGTCACCTTCAGGTTTGCTGTAAAGATTATGCTAGAATCTGACAAAGTCAATCATCTGCTCTAAAGTTGCACTCTGGCCTTGATGCAGATGCTGCGGAAGTTACTGGGGTGTTGCTCAGTTATCTGAGGATAGTTTGATCTGTTACACTGAGAAAGTAGACAGGGTCCTCAGGACTATTAGTGCAACCACCTCTCTATTAAATTTATTCGCTCTTGGCTAGTTTAGGCATTCCTTGAAGAGATGTACACTTGGGTTCTGATAGTGGTTAATTCCTTTTTGAAGGAGAAGATGGTTCAGATGTCTCTTAATGAAACAGTATTTCACCCCTACTTAAGGTCCCATCATTAAACCCCCATCAACTGAGATAATTTTTGTCCAGTTTCCAATCTTCTGTTATAAGAGTCTCCCCACCGCCTCCTTTATCCATAAGAGAACTAAGGAGGGTCAAATCTGAGAATTTCTTTTGCTCAAATTACATTTCTGCTTAGGACACATATTTTTCTTATCTAACCATTGACTTGGTTTAGGCTCTTTGCATTGATTGCACTCTTGAATGGCAGGAGCAAGATGGGGGTAGTGCATCCATTCTTGACTTCTCAGGTATTTTGTTATCAACAATCTTCGTATTCTTCTGAGATGACTCTGGGAATAGGCAATCAATGACATCATGTTCTTTTGGTTTTCTTTCTTCTTCTACAACTGGTTCCAGTCGCTGTTGATAGAAAAGATCCAGCCTGTGGCCCCTCCTGTTTAACATCTACATTAACTACAGAGTAAGGTCATCCAATGGTTTAGGGTGAGGTATTAATAGTGTGCTGATGATACTCAGCTTTGTATCTTTACCCCAGGTCACTCAAGTGATGCCATGGAGATTCTGTCTCAATGCCTGGAGGTTGTTGGAGCTTGGATGGGGCACAATAGGTTTCAATTCAACCCAAGCAAGATTGAGTGCTTCAGATTTTTGGATTGCCCAACTCCAGGAAGCTTTCATCTTTGGTTTTGGAATGGATGTTACTAATCAGACAGAACCGGTTTGAAATCTGGGGATTCTCCTGTACTGATATCTTCTGGTCAAGGAGCAGGTGCAACTATGGCTGAGAAGACCAGCTACAGCTTCAGGCTGTGCATTATTTGTCCCTGATCCTGGATAGGAAGAGGGCTGCTCATCATCACTTCAAATATTGAAGGAATCTAGATGCTCCATGAAAATAACATAAAGAGATTGAGTGAAAAGATGAGTAGAAATACTAGGGTATGCTTCAGACCAGATATGTCAAACATGCAGCCCACAGGCCGGATTGAAAATGGCGAGGGACCAGCCCATGCCGCCCCAGCCCAACCCAGCCATGCCCACCCAGTCAGTCACAATGACCAGGCCACGCCCATCCCTGCTCCCCAAGCACAAACAAAATCGACCTGCAATGGGATTGAGTTGACCCCCCACCTGATTTAGACTAAACATAAAGCATACCAAAATCGATAAAGTTAGTAGTGAACTCATCAAAAGAGGAAGAAGATCTTAAACCACAAACTCAGTGGTGGAAATCTACCAAAGCAATTAATACCTGAGCAATTCCAGTCATTAGATATACAACGGGAATAATGGATTAGACTCAAGCTGATCTAGAAGCCTTGGATAGAAAGATTAAAAACAGCCAAAACAGTGCCAGCCAAAACTGCTGCAGGAGGCCATCCAGGCCGAAAATGGTGAATTGGGCGCCCCGCACACAGCCCCCCCCCCCGTCTGTTTTGGCCAGCAGAGTGCTGCAGGAAGTGTCTGTCCCGTTCCCCCTCAGGCGGCCCACCTATAAAAACCACAATGCTGATGCAGCCCCTGAAGAAATCCAGTTTAACACCACTGCAATATGTGGACAAAAAAACCAAATCCAGTCTAAAGATCTGGCTAACTGTGCAACCAACCACAATAAACAAAATTTCCATCTGTCAATTACAAAAGGCCATATCATTTGGATCTGAAAATGTACTATGCCAATATGTTACAGTCTCCTAGATTGTTGGAAAGAACTTGACGCAAATGAAAGCCAACATCAGCCAAAGAACTGCAGCTATAATTTTATGATGTTGTATGTAATAATATCCTAAAAACCTGAATGGTTGGTTTTATGCAATAATGAGGGAAAAGATGGATTTATTCACGAAATGTGTTCATAGTGGGTTCATATAACATACCCTGCCAGATTAAACAAACATTATTTATGGCTTGGTGCAGTAATACTGCATTGCAGTATGTTAACCTAGATCTGGGCCTACATCTGCTTTTGTGAATAAATATCTCCAAATATTGCTACTATGTGGGAAATTAGGAATTTACATAGAAGTTGTAAAACATAACAAATATCCAGAGACTTCTAGTTAATATGCAAATAAAGAAACCCGTAATAAGCAAATAATTAGCGGGAAGAACTACACGTTTTGTAAACACATGGTAAATGTAGATATAGTTTAATTTTAAAAACTGACATCTATGTTTGATTTACATTTTTTCCTTTAAACTAGGCAGAGTTTCTAGTCATATATATTTTCTTTTCTTTTTTATTAAAAATTGTTTTTTCACCATAGGTGACGAAATTGGGATGCTAGAAGATATGGCTGTAGGAATATCAGACTTGCAAAAAGTCATGTTTAAAATAACTGAAACTAAATCAGATGACATACTGCCTGTTATAACTGGAAGACGGTACGTATTCTGTTCTTTTTAAAAATGTTAACTTGATGTAGTGCAAAAAAAAAATTGAAGAGGAAGTTATGTAATGTTTAAGAAAGAGACAGAAATCAAAATGAACACCTTTTAAGGAAATTGCAGGTGATATGATGTTCTATTTAAGGAAATTGCAGGCCTCATTAAGGAGAGAAATTGCTTTGATTTTAATTTTATATTGTCAAAAATGAAGAGGGGAGAATAGGTGTCTTTCTTTTTATATGAAAAACACTCAGCAGCATGTCTTCTGATGCTTGAATATAGGTGTTTCTTTGCTATCTTAAGACCAAAATTGGCCCAACAAAAGATTACAATTAGAAGAATACAGGTAGTCTTCAAGATGTAACTATAATGGAGCTTGCCCATTTTAGTTGCATGTTGCAATGATGGTTAAGAATCCTCTATCTCCTCTAATAACCCCATCACTGCTGTCCCCTATGCAATTGTTGAACAAACCTGCAGGTCATTGAGTGGAGCACTGAATCCTTCAAGGTTGAAGTGGGGTGCTTGGAAGCCTAGCACAGGCCCAGGCTCACCTTTCTGGGCTCTGAAGCCTTCCCCCCCTCCCCCGAGGCACCCATGGTCCTCTCCCTGTTCTTCAGGGTCTCCCTGGCTTTGGTCTACTCCAACTGGCTATTCAGCCAGGCAAGAGAGCCTAAAGCTGGTCAACAGAAGCAACTGGCACGTGGTAGGCAGTTACAGCCTGTAGGCCGAGCCATCTTGCCGAGCCAACTGGCAACCCCAGGGACTTGCAGGATTCAATCTGCTCCTCAACCAACTCCAGGGCCCAGAAGTACCCAACTTACCTTTTTATTTTTTGCAGAGAGTCCAGTCGATCCAATGTGAGACTCAGTTTTCTTGTAGAGGCTGCCGACCTCATGGCAACTTTGTGCTATTCTCCCAGCAAGTAGTACTTAAATTCCACAAACATAGGGACCCTCCTTAAAAAACAGCCTCCACAAACAAACGGAGCCTCATTAACTTAGTGACCGATAGTAAGATGAGACATCGTTGCTATAATGTCTAAATTAAAATACGACAGCCTGCCAGAAATAAATTTCCTGCATTTTCAGACTCAGTGACTCTGTGGCAAAGGAAGAAACATTATACAAAACATTGTTTTAAGCATAGGCCATTTACCAAGCAGACTTCTTAATAACCTCATCAACATTACCAACTCAGGGTACAAAATGTTGTGCAGAAGGTTTCTTCTAATGAAATACGCCATGGTGTGGGGGAACAGAACAGCCACAAGAATCATGTCAAGAGATCCTCTGGCAGTGGAATTCCATTAATTTTTTTTAAAAAATGTTCTGCTTCTGAGGGAGCCATAGCTGTCTTGCATCCCAGCCTATTCCATTCAGATCCCTGTAAGAGCAGCTAGCACAGATTTCATCAGTGCAATTAAANTTTTTGAAATCAGCCAATGTCAGCTAAAGGAAAAAGAAAAGGAAAACAAGAACTAGAGTGGGGGTGTCAAACTTGAGCCATCACGATGTCGTTACATGTCATATTACAACTTTCCCCCCCTCCCAAACTGGGCATGGCCAGCATGTGACTCATCCGGCCCACAAGCTGAAAGTTTGACAGCCCTGAACTTCAGCAAGAGCTCCATTTTTGTCTGATTTGTGGGTCTATGTTACTCTCAGGATGATGAAATAGGATCCTTGGCTAATTGATAAGGCTGCTTTGACTTTGCAGGTCCAATCTGTATGTATAATTTACATAGAACTATATCTACTATTAAGATGTCTTTTGTAGCTTTTATTTTTTAATCAGGAAAAAAGGAGGATATTTAAGCAGATATATAATTGTATGTTTTAATGATCTCGCCTAAGATTGTAGGGGTTCATCGGTAGCAATAAAAAGTCTGTAAGTTACATTGAAGCAGTCATTTGTTCTCAAAACAGTAACTAATGGGTATATTGTGTGCAAATTTGAAAAAGAATGCTAGGCCTGCCTAATATACGGTCTGTAGGCCACATGCAGGCTACCAACCGACTCTGTTCAGCCCAAACATCAAAAGGATACTAGCTTATGATTAATAAACATCCAAGAACCTATTCCCTCTTTCCTGCCACTTATCCATATTTTTCAAGACTAATTTCTGTGGCAAGAATATACTGAGCATTGGATCCAGTGGTTCTGATTTGATTTACATAGTTACAATAATTACAACTTTTGGCTGAAGCAATTAATATATATGTTTGTGTGGTTATTGTTATTAACCTAGCTTGCTGGATTGATCTGTGGATTCATCATCAAGTTACACTCCAGTTTACGTGATCAAGGCTTCCTCCAGCAACTTCATTCAGTGGGCCTAATTGTTCAGTATGAAGGACTTCTCAGTACATATAGTAAGTATGTACCTCAGATAACTATTCACTCCCTGAATTGATTTTACTCTCAGAGTACCTAAGAGAGATGAAATGGAAAGAGATACCTAGAAAAGTGCTGAAGGGTGACACGTAGCAAATACCTTCTAAAAGGAGATAAGTAGCAAATCTGATTAAACATGAGTTGGAGCTATAGGATCTATCTCATGGTAGTGGGGTGGCAAAACATTTTTATTTCTCTGGCTTTATGGCACCTGCATTTAGCTATCCAGCAGCCTATTTAGAGCATCTCAGTCCTTCCTGGTGGGAGTCACTCTGGAGGTCACCTTCAGGTTTGCTGTAAAGATTATGCTAGAATCTGACAAAGTCAATCATCTGCTCTAAAGTTGCACTCTGGCCTTGATGCAGATGCTGCGGAAGTTACTGGGGTGTTGCTCAGTTATCTGAGGATAGTTTGATCTGTTACACTGAGAAAGTAGACAGGGTCCTCAGGACTATTAGTGCAACCACCTCTCTATTAAATTTATTCGCTCTTGGCTAGTTTAGGCATTCCTTGAAGAGATGTACACTTGGGTTCTGATAGTGGTTAATTCCTTTTTGAAGGAGAAGATGGTTCAGATGTCTCTTAATGAAACAGTATTTCACCCCTACTTAAGGTCCCATCATTAAACCCCCATCAACTGAGATAATTTTTGTCCAGTTTCCAATCTTCTGTTATAAGAGTCTCCCCACCGCCTCCTTTATCCATAAGAGAACTAAGGAGGGTCAAATCTGAGAATTTCTTTTGCTCAAATTACATTTCTGCTTAGGACACATATTTTTCTTATCTAACCATTGACTTGGTTTAGGCTCTTTGCATTGATTGCACTCTTGAATGGCAGGAGCAAGATGGGGGTAGTGCATCCATTCTTGACTTCTCAGGTATTTTGTTATCAACAATCTTCGTATTCTTCTGAGATGACTCTGGGAATAGGCAATCAATGACATCATGTTCTTTTGGTTTTCTTTCTTCTTCTACAACTGGTTCCAGTCGCTGTTGATAGAAAAGATCCAGCCTGTGGCCCCTCCTGTTTAACATCTACATTAACTACAGAGTAAGGTCATCCAATGGTTTAGGGTGAGGTATTAATAGTGTGCTGATGATACTCAGCTTTGTATCTTTACCCCAGGTCACTCAAGTGATGCCATGGAGATTCTGTCTCAATGCCTGGAGGTTGTTGGAGCTTGGATGGGGCACAATAGGTTTCAATTCAACCCAAGCAAGATTGAGTGCTTCAGATTTTTGGATTGCCCAACTCCAGGAAGCTTTCATCTTTGGTTTTGGAATGGATGTTACTAATCAGACAGAACCGGTTTGAAATCTGGGGATTCTCCTGTACTGATATCTTCTGGTCAAGGAGCAGGTGCAACTATGGCTGAGAAGACCAGCTACAGCTTCAGGCTGTGCATTATTTGTCCCTGATCCTGGATAGGAAGAGGGCTGCTCATCATCACTTCAAATATTGAAGGAATCTAGATGCTCCATGAAAATAACATAAAGAGATTGAGTGAAAAGATGAGTAGAAATACTAGGGTATGCTTCAGACCAGATATGTCAAACATGCAGCCCACAGGCCGGATTGAAAATGGCGAGGGACCAGCCCATGCCGCCCCAGCCCAACCCAGCCATGCCCACCCAGTCAGTCACAATGACCAGGCCACGCCCATCCCTGCTCCCCAAGCACAAACAAAATCGACCTGCAATGGGATTGAGTTGACCCCCCACCTGATTTAGACTAAACATAAAGCATACCAAAATCGATAAAGTTAGTAGTGAACTCATCAAAAGAGGAAGAAGATCTTAAACCACAAACTCAGTGGTGGAAATCTACCAAAGCAATTAATACCTGAGCAATTCCAGTCATTAGATATACAACGGGAATAATGGATTAGACTCAAGCTGATCTAGAAGCCTTGGATAGAAAGATTAAAAACAGCCAAAACAGTGCCAGCCAAAACTGCTGCAGGAGGCCATCCAGGCCGAAAATGGTGAATTGGGCGCCCCGCACACAGCCCCCCCCCCCGTCTGTTTTGGCCAGCAGAGTGCTGCAGGAAGTGTCTGTCCCGTTCCCCCTCAGGCGGCCCACCTATAAAAACCACAATGCTGATGCAGCCCCTGAAGAAATCCAGTTTAACACCACTGCAATATGTGGACAAAAAAACCAAATCCAGTCTAAAGATCTGGCTAACTGTGCAACCAACCACAATAAACAAAATTTCCATCTGTCAATTACAAAAGGCCATATCATTTGGATCTGAAAATGTACTATGCCAATATGTTACAGTCTCCTAGATTGTTGGAAAGAACTTGACGCAAATGAAAGCCAACATCAGCCAAAGAACTGCAGCTATAATTTTATGATGTTGTATGTAATAATATCCTAAAAACCTGAATGGTTGGTTTTATGCAATAATGAGGGAAAAGATGGATTTATTCACGAAATGTGTTCATAGTGGGTTCATATAACATACCCTGCCAGATTAAACAAACATTATTTATGGCTTGGTGCAGTAATACTGCATTGCAGTATGTTAACCTAGATCTGGGCCTACATCTGCTTTTGTGAATAAATATCTCCAAATATTGCTACTATGTGGGAAATT